TTCCAGAAATAAGCAATTACTGGAAAATAAAAAAGAAAAAACTGATCTTGGGCCGGAACTCGCACAGTGACCCGACCTAGCTCTGCCCTTTCACTTTCGTGGCGTATGCGTCGACCGTGACGACAGACCCAGTGCGCAACTTGGGCTGGGCCGGCAAGCAAAGCAGCCCGGTGTGCTCGCCCGCCTGGGCCGAGAGTGGCCCGTTGAAACCTCACCGTCGGATCTCATCCGACGGTCGAGCGCAGGCTTCGCGGGATCAAAACCCGCTCGGCCGCATCGGCCGAAAAACCCTAGCCCCATTCCCCTTTCTCCTCTGCCTTTCTCTCTCAGCCGCGCGGCGCACCGAGCGAGCGAAGCGGTGGAGCGGGCAGCCATGGCGCCGTCGCCGGCCCCCTCGCCGGCGTGCGCGCGCTCCCCACAGTGAGCTGCCACGCCGAGCGTCAGCTCTGCCACCATGCGCCCCCCTTGGCCGAGCTCGGCGAAACAACTCCCCCAGCTCGGCTTTCTTCTCCCGTCGGCGAAGGGTCAGCCCGACGCACGGTGAGGTAGGCCCCTTTCCTCTTCTTCCCCGTCCCCTTCTTCTTTTAGATTTGAATTCTACTTCTCTTATCCGAAACGGTGTTGGAGATTAGGGTTTAGATCTAGGGTTAGGGTTTGGAATCCGACTCAATGTTCTTCTTCCCTAGAGGGTCTTCACGGGTTTAGGGTTCGGCTTTGATTCAACACAATTTAAAGATTAAGATAGTCAGGTCCGACCGTGTGGGGAAGTACTACGGTCGGCATACCCCATATGACCAAGTTTTTGGACCTTTTGTCTGCTAAGATCCGAAAGGATCTAATCCATTCTTTCATTTTCTAATCGTTTCTAGCCCCTGCCGAGATCTACCCCTAGTTAACCTGGCTCTGATACCATTATTAATACTTGTAGGATCGTCTAGGAGTAGATCCGGGGTGTTAAACATTTACTGGATGAATCAGAGACCTAGAACGCGTTCTAGACATAGAGACAGAGACAGAGAGAGGATAGAGGAAGAACGTGTTGAACCTAATACCGTAGGGGGGATGATCCAAAAGCCGCCATCACGTTCATCGGTGAAGTCTGCGCATGGGCAGCGACGGTCGGGGAAGAGGTGTTGGTGATGGGCGGTGGCGACCGGCGGTGAAGACCGATGGCGGCGCAGTGCAGTGGTGGAGGTGCTTCCCGGCACTGGCTGCGCCCCTCACTAGATCGGGTTAGGGTTTTGGGTTTCGGTGGGGAGCTTGGCTCAGACGAACCTCGTACTCAGAGCCGCCAGCCCCCACCTCTATTTATTGCGCAGTGTGACAGGGGTCCTCCAGTCATAGTGGGCTGGGCGCCCCCGATCAGGGCGTGGATCAAAGACCCAACTGGGCCGTTGGACCCAATTTGGGATTAGAGATCAACCTAACATCACTTGTTTAACCTGACCTTGAGGAATCACTTCGCTCACATGAAAGGCAAACGTGCTTTTCGGAAGGGCTTGTCTTGTCCTCCCGTCGGTTGCATCGCTCGTGCTCCCTGTTGAGGGATCACTCGCTCTTCTCCCTCTAGTCGGTGCTCAAGAAAAAGCAAACTCTGAACCAACATCATACTTCTATGATCGTGCAATTTTAGCGCCAACGAATGACATTGTCTCGGAAATAAATAAATAAATGATTGCGCAGCTAACAACGACTAAAATGTCATACTACAATTCAGATTCAATATATGACAGTTCTGCTAACCAGTCTACTCTTGAGACATTATATCCCACTGAGTTTCTGAACTCAATCTCAATAAATGGCCTACCAGACCATGTGTTGCATTTGAAAATTGGTGTCCCCATAATGCTTCTGCGAAATCTAGATCCCTCTAGAGGACTTTGCAATGGAACTAGACTAATTGTAACACAACTCACAAGTCGTGTGATTGAGGGTGAAATCATCACAGGAAAAGCTAAAGGCTCAAAAGCATACATTCCGCGCATTGTTACAACGTCAGCTCAAACCAAATGGCCCTTCAAATTGAAGCGTCGCCAGTTCCCAATACGACTTTCTTATGCCATGACCATCAATAAAAGCCAAGGGCAAACACTAAACATAGTTGGTGTCTACTTGCCATCTCAGGTATTCTCGCATGGACAACTGTATGTTGCATTCTCACGAATTACTTCCCCAAAAGGTTTGCGAGTTCTAATTGAAAGCAGTCCTTCCTCCTTTGATGATTGCACACACAATGTAGTATATGCTGAGGTCTTCTCTCAAATCAATATCAACAGAAGTTAATGTACACAGGTATATTGTTAAAACAACCACTCTATTATGCCTTCTGTCATGTTTCCTCTCATACGTTATTGTGCTCATTTTTGTACATGCAATTTATTTCCCTTCATAATGGATTTGTCATTTTATCTGTTTTCATCAACTGTCATGCACTCTTTTCATTTTCTGATGCAACTTTATCATATTCTTTCAGCAATACCTTAGACATGACTGCAACCATGAAGCTAGATTAGTTTAGGCCAGCAAAACTGCAAGGTCTTAGGACGCCTTACGAGACTTTGGGACTCCAAAAACATGAACCCCAGAGCTGCAGACCCTTTCATCAGCATTGATGGAATAATTGTGGATGAAGACGCAAGTATACTTTCCTTACTCAATTGTTTACCTTCCTTCCAAATCTCAGTAATTTTGTCCTCTTTTGCAGGGCAAAATGGCACAGATAAATGTACCAAAGAAGCTTGAGAAACAATTTCGATCATTACTTGATACAGGCTCTATTATCTAAAAAAAAACTTGATACAGGCTCTGTCTACATATTTGCAAATGTCAGTGCTGTTGACACCAAAAAAAAAAGACCTTCATCCATCACCATCAAAAGTAAATCCTTCAATTTCAGTCCACCACTAAAGTACACCGACTAGAATCAAGAGGAGGAAACATCCCACTCTTTGCATTCAATTTCTGCCCATTTGATCAGCTAACATCAAAAGACATCCTATCAAAGCCATTTCTGCCCATTTGATCAGCTACCTACATTTTTTATTTCATCTCTAATTTTTTTAACTCATATGACCTGCTCCTGCTTCCATCTTACAGATTTAATAGGAGTTATAAGCAATGTAGGGCCATATGCCTTTGTGAGCGCAACATCACAGAAAAAGTTACGGAAAATACAAATTCAAGACGAAGAGTTAGTATCATCAGCTCAGCTAAGATGTAGTAACCTGATATTATTTTTGGCATAAATAACTTTAGACCCATTTGTAGAGAACAAACACAGGAACTGCTTCTGTGGGGCGGATATGGTGAAACATTTGATGAGGCCTGTCTTTGAAAAATCTCAGCAAGGAACTGTAGTAGCAATATTTGCTGGTTTAACTGTAGGAGGCTTTTCAGGTCACCTATTTAAACTTACCTATCTCTACCAAACAAAGTAACATGCCAATACATTCCCTAATTTTATATGAGGCAAAACAGAGGCATCATCAAGTTCTGCAACTCAAGTATATATTGACTCGGACATTCCTGAAGTTAACAAATTCCGAGACAGGTTATACTACCAGTTTTTAATAGTACTACATATACAAACTATGTCACCTATCTTATTTAACAACATACCACTAAAATATCCATATATTTGAAGCTACAAATGGGAGACTCCAACTCTACGCCATCATTTACCTCAAATGTTGCAATTACCACCAATTGAAGCTGCTGGAAAACTATACAAAGTTGATCAAATATGCAATCTACCAAATTCATCTTTCCAGGTACCTTCTCAACTCTTTTCCTAATAAAATTCAGTCTATATATCTACTCCCCATATGAAAAGCAAATTACTAATTCCTTCCTTTTTCTTCTTTCCATAAAATAAGGGAGGTGCTACATATAGTTGCATTGCAAAAATAACGGCAATAATAACAACCACAAAATGGTACTACAAAGCCTGTTGCCGTGACTGTCCAGTTTCACAAAATGGGATACAGCAGCAGTTTAGAATAACCACAATGTGACTGTTTCACATCCAGTGCCAATGTGATAATTTTTCTTCAATGCTTTAAAATTAACACACCCAACATATATACCTGACACGCAACTAACAAATAATGCACCACATAGGTACAAACTTCCTCTTACAATTATGATGATACAGGAAGCATAGACGCAATAGCTTTCTCATGTATAGCTGAAGATTTGGTTGAGCGTACTGCTTCCAAAACATCTCAAAACATGAAGATAGATGCGGCAGATCAAGCAGTCTCTCTGCAAACAGCAATTGGAAAAACAAGACTCTTTTACATAGGAATGAGCCCAGACTCATCCTCAAATTTCTCTATCAAATATGTCTTGCTCAAGAGTTTTCAAGTAGATAATACAACGAAATCTTTGATGCCGCCAAGTACAAAGGTTAGTCTACTGTTTCCAGATATCATTATTCCTTATATTCAGCTAATAAACACATTGAACTTTGCAGTTCCCATCTACACTTGTCAGCCCTATTCTACCACTTCCAGATTCTAGCAACCTAAACTCTTCAATGTTATTCATCAGCTATCAAACTTAGTACTTCCCAACAGATTCACTAATATGTTACTTAGTACTTTCCACCGAATTTACTAAGAACTTACTACTAATTTAGTATTTTTATTTATATTGTATACCTAGCTCTACTGCAAAGAGAACCTTACATTTCCAATAGGATATAGACAACACTGATCCCAGGTATGCCATTATTTACCCATATCTCATTTCAACCATTCACTGAATTTTAGTGTTGTACCAGAAAGAACCTTTTCCCCCACAAATAGTAGCACTTATACATATTAATATATCTAACCATTCAGTTTCCTTAATACTGCCATCATTTTTATCTCAATGCAGTTCAGAACAGCATGCATCAACCTCTGGAAATATTCCTAAACTTCATAAACAAATGTACTTCCACCTTCCATAATGTTTCTAATACTTCTTTTTAAAATAATACCTCCTAACATACATTACTACCACAGACCTGCAAATAACGATAGTCAAGATGAGGACATGCCACAATCAAACAAAGACATCCTTCTTTCACCTACAACATCCCTCACACTCACTAATCATCGAACAGATGGAGAACGATGAAAAGGAAAGAGGCCCCCCACAATCCCAACCCTCCAAGATGTGCTCGAGACGTCACGCTTACACTGTGCAATATTGTTCGCGTGATCGGCCTGTACCTTCTTCAGTTGTGTGGACATGCTGAGCGTCTCCTTATGAAGAACATCAAACCTGGCGGCTTGTGAGGAAGCGATTTCGGAGACTGCCCTCTCCATGGAGATGACGTTTGCGGTGGTGGCGTCCGGGGCGACCGTGGTGGTGGGCTTCGCGGTAGGGTCGGCGGCGATGGTTGTGACGGGGGCGCGGAAGAGAACGGGAGCGCGGAGGAGGGCGGGGGCGCGGGCGCGGAGCCCGAGCCTTGGCACCGCGGAAAGCATGTCGCCGGCGCGAAGGTGGAGGGGGCGGGTGGCCCATAAAAAATGGCCCGGCCCGGCTCAGGACATGCGTGTCGCTGTTTCATCCCCTTTCGCCACTTCCATCAGGACATGCGTACGCACGCGCGATGGCTGAGCAGCAGAGCGCGGCCCATGTGGGCACGCGGCGGACCAGGAGCGCGCGTCGAGCGTCGTATTCCCCTACCCTCGTCGCACCTTCCACGTAGGTGAGTTTTTCTTCTGTTTTTTCTTCCTTTTTCTATTTCTTTTTTTCTCTTTACTTTCTTTGTGGTGTTTTATTTTTTTATTTTTGGTAATTAATTATTTTCTTTATTTCATTTTTTTCTTTCCATGTTTTCTTTCTTTTCTTCTATTTCTTTTTCTTTTCTCTTTCCTTTTATGTATTTAATATATTTTCTTATTTTCATTTTGTTTTTGTTTTTTATTTTATTATAGTTATTTTTTATTTTAAATTTTTAAATTTTTTGTTTTCTATGTATGATGCTCTATATATAATTTTCACATAATATAAGTAGGATATTCTATAATTATTTTTGAGTATCCATATGATGTTTTTTTAAATTTTCCTCTGTTACGTGGATTTTTTTCTTGTTTTCCCATATGCTTTATTCTATCTTTTGTCATTTTCCATTCATATTATTTGTTCATTCATTTATGTATTTAACTTTTATTGTCTATTTTATAGTTTTTTTTCGTTTTTCCTATTTTCATGGATATTATGATACCATTCATATGCACCTAGATTTTTTCCCTACATCTAAAATATTGTTGTCGTGAACTTAGAATATTTGTGTATGAAAGCCAGAACTCTTTTTTTTTTATGATCTTGTGGTGATATTCACTTAAACGATTTCTTCTATAGCATAATAAGACCATTCTCATACTATTTATTAGGTATATTGTTGATTATTGTTATATTATTTTTATATGATTAGTGATTTTTATTTTCTTCATTACACGTGATGATCAGTGATGTATTTTATGATGTTCATGTAATATACATGTGATGTTCTATGATGTTTTTTAGATGTTTAGGTAGTATATATGTAATATTCTATGATGTATTTTTTGATATCCAGTAGTATACATTTGATGTTCTAATATATATTTTACGATGTTCACGTACTATACATTGTTCTATGATGTATTTTTATGATATTCATGTAGTATACATGTGATGTTCTATGTATTTTGTGATGCTCTTATTGTTTCTATTTTCCTTTTTATTTTAATTTCTTTTTACTTTTACTAATCTTTTCTTCTCTTTTTTATTTTATTTTCCTTTTATATTTGAATCATTTTTTACTTTCACATACCAAAACATTTGGAGAAATAATTTGTGATTTTGTGATGTTCCTTAATTTTTTCCTTTTGTGTGGTTTTTCCCTTATGCTTTGTTCCATCTTTTATTAATTATTCTATTTATGTCATTTATTTATTTATATTTTATACCTTTTGTTTTATTTTTCTATTTCATGGATATTATAATACCTCCTTATGAACCTAGAATGTTTTTTTATCTTAAATATGAAATATTGGTTTTTTGAATTTAGAACATTTATTTTATGAGTGTGAACATCTCATCTTGGACCTAGAACATCTCCTGTACTTTAAAAAAATACTCTATCTTCACGATATAAATGTTCATTAATAAATTTTCATATAAATATATCTATATGGGGTCTTGGTTTGATGGATTTATTGTAATAATAATCATAATGATGAGATCAAAATTTAAGCTTCGATGCTTGGTTTAGCAACTAAATATTTTTAAAACTTTATTAAGACAGAAGCATGGCACACTTTTTGTAGGCATATGGATGTGGAGAGGTCGTCCCGCTTTTACTGGTCAGTGTACGTATGAACTTTTACTGGCGTACCGACTGGTCATTTTATATGGAAGAGTCGAGAAAAAAATCTGCACAAACATCATTTCCGTATACTTTACTGCAAAAACAGTCTAAACATTATACGGACACTACAAGCAAACTCAAACAGTCTGCAACGGCCCACGATGTGCAAAATCAAAACGGCCCATGACGCGCTGCGGGAACGCTGCGGCAGAAGACTTAATTATGGTCAGCGCATGACTTGCTGCGGAACATGTATGCTCTTCGGCTCATGGGCTCACACCCAATCATTAAAGAAAGTTTGAGCCCAAAATACCATAAAACGGAGTAGGGGCAAACCATCCCAATTTTACCTGAAAAATCGAGAGATGCATTTGATCATAACTTTTTTTTTTGAAAAAAGACATTTGATCATAACTGATAACTGGATGGTGTCCATGGCCCATGGGGTTACAGGACTCAGTGACCTTCAGTATGCAAAGCAAGGTTCTACAGTCCACAACTTCATGTATGTCTGTGTCATCAGCACCTTAAGAAATGAGTTTAATCTGCTGCCTTCTCCTCCTGGGTTCTATATGGTTACAAATGTCACAGCATAACTGCAACATTCTCAATTGGAATGTCAGGGGGCTAAATGATGGTGCTCGGCGTGACTCTGTGTTTGATCTGGTGCGAGATACTGGAAGCTCAGTGGTCTGTTTACAAGAAACTAAATTAGCGGCCATCGATCGGGCAGTAGTACTGCGCACCCTGGGCACAAAATTTCTGAACAACTATGCAGTTCTTCCGGCACTGCAAACAAGACGTGGAATTCTGCTTGCTGTCTTTGAAGATTACTTCACCCTCTCAAACGTGAGCCTCACCTGTAACACGGTTACGGCCATGATCACCATGAAAGCTGACAACATGGAGTGGTGGATTACGGTGGTTTACGGACCTCAAACAGATGCGGACAAGCTTCTGTTCCTCCAAGAACTGAAGGACCTTGCAGCCCTGGGCATGATAGATGGCTAGTTATTGGAGATTTCAATCTTATCTACCAAGTTGCGGATAAAAACAACACAAACCTCAATCGATGCCTAATGGGATCCTTTAAGAAAACCATTAATGATCTTCATCTAAAAGAAATCTGACTAAATGGTCGCCGGTTCACATGGAGCAATGGCCAAAACAACCCAACTCTAACACGAATCAATAGGGTCTTTTTTGCACCCCGAATTGAGAACTCCTTTTCCCAACTTGCTACCTCCACTCCTTGCCGTCGCTAATGTCTGATCACACACCACTGCTACTTCAGGGCGAGCTAAGTCGGGAGTCGAACAACCGCTTTCGATTTGAAATTTTTTGGGTTCGAATGGAAGGTTTTTTTGAGGCTGTCCAAACTGCTTGGAATAAGCCAGTGAATTCGGTGTAGCCCCTTAAACGCCTTCACATCAAATTGGCACGCACCATCAAGGGCATCAAGAATTGGAAGAAATCCAAAATTGGTGATACTAGACTTCAGCTTGCAATTGTTAAGGAGATCATCCTTCGATTAGAGACTGCCCAAGAAGAACGAACCCTCACACAAGATGAACTCGATCTATTGAAACGGCTCAAAGTTCGATCCATTGGTCTGGCCCTCATTGAGAAAGCAAGAATTTGGCAACGCTCACGCCTCACCTCACTTACATTCGGTTTGGAGATGCTAACACGAAATTCTTCCAGCTGCGTGCTAATTCAAGGTCGAGGAAAAATTACATCCATTGCCTGCAAACTGATGACGACATAGCTTTCTCACATGATGATAAGGAGAAAATCATTACTGAGCACTTCCTTAAGCACCTTGGCACCACTACCGTCAGGCCAGCCACCTTTCACTGGGAGGCCCTCGGCTATCAACCACATGACCTATCTTCACTGGAGGCACCCTTTTCGCAAGATGAGATCAAGGACACCATTCAATCCATGCCGAGGGACAAAGCATCGGGGCCCGATGGGTTCACTGGACTTTTCTTCAAAGAGTGTTGGGAGATCATCAAACATGATCTCACAGCCGCCTTCAATCAACTCTACAACATGAATGCGCAAGGATTTGATCTACTGAACTCAGCCAATATTTTTCTCCTTCCCAAAAAGGTGGACGCTGCAAAAGTTGATGACTATCGACCAATAAGTTTGATTCATAGCATTACAAAGATCTTCTCCAAATTGTTTGCCAACAGACTCTCCTCTCATCTAAACACCTTGGTCTCCAAATGCCAGAGTGCATTCATCAAACACCGGTGCATTTAGGACAACTTTCTATACATCCAAAACACGGTGAGGAGATTTCACAAAATGAAAATGCCAGCCCTCTTCATGAAGCTGGACATACAAAAGGCCTTTGACACCATCAATTGGAGCTACATGCTGGAGGTACTACATGCTCTTGGTTTTGGGCCAAGATGGCGTTAATGGATTTCTATCCTTTTTGGCACAGCCACTTCAAGAGCTCTTCTCAATGGTAGTCAGGGAAGTAGTTTCAGTCACAAACAGGGTGTGCAACAAGGTGACCCACTATCACCTATGCTATTCATTCTCGCCATCGACCCGCTGCAAAAAATGCTTGATCTCGCAACTCAGAATGGTATCCTTACACCGCTGCCGCTAGCTACAGTGAAACTGCGTACTTCTCTTTATGCCGATGACGCTGCTATCTTCCTAAATCCAAATCGAGAGAAATTGCAAGCAGTAAAGGACATGCTCCAAATGTTTGGCGAAATCACGGGTTTAATCACAAACTTGGAAAAAAGTTCAATCCACCCAATTCACTGTGAAAACATTGATCTAGATCATGTACTTGAACCATTCCCGGGTGCCTGCAATACCTTCCCGTGCCGCTACCTTGGTCTGCAGCTTCACGCTCGCTCCCTGCAAAAAGTGCACGTGCAACCCCTCATTGAAAAGATTGGCAATCGTCTTCCAAGATGGAAAGGATGGCTTCTCAACCGCGCAGGGAGACTTACTTTGGTCTAATCAGTGCTCTCCTCCTTGCTGACTTACCATTTAATTATCTTCCCGCTAGCAGTCTGGGCAAGGAAACAAATTGATAAAATTCGTCGTTCATTCCTTTGGAAAGGCGATGATAATTCCAACGGCGGTCACTGCATG